AGGAGGGTTATCGGCACGGCGAAACAACAATTCTTTCTTTAACCTTTCTTTTTTTGCTTTTTAATCTTTTACCATTTGTCAGATTAGAGACGCATGTAATGGATGAGAGAGAGAGCAAAATACCAAATAAAAAATTAAAAAAAGAAGAACAAAAAAAAGGAGAAAGATGGATCAAAATGAGAAAAAAAACCCCATCAAGGTGTCATTGGCCCCGTACTAGGATTATTTTCTCCGACGCCCTCCTCTCCTCGAGGGGGCACAAAGACAAGGAAGGTTGACAGCGACAGGGGGAGGGACTGAGCGGAGGAGGCGTCTCTTTCCGCTGTCAGTCGGGGCTATGTGAGTGTATGTGTTATGTTAGTTTGGAGTCAGTCAGTCAGTCAATCAGTCTGGTTTGCGGATGACTGTTGTGGTAACTGCACGTAGACGCAGACCTAGGGCTACCTGCAGGACGAGTGGGCCTATAATTTGACTCGGACAGATGAGAGGAGGTGAAAGTGGGTTTATTTTCTTTTTCTTTTTTTTTTTTTTTATTGGGCTGCAGTGCAGTGCAGTGCACCTCGGGGAGGTCACCATGGATTTGGATTAGTGTGGAGTCAAAGCAACGCAACTGCTCCTCTCCACACCTCAGTGAGATATTAGCTGCAGGGAAGGAAAGGAAGGCATCGTGAAGATAAAAATTAGATGAAAATAAATCAACTAAACAATCAAGAATTTGATAACAAAAAACATGTAAATATAGATAATAATATCACTAATCATATGTCGGAAGATCGACAACTGAAAGAAATCAGGAAGAAATTAAGGGGAAAAGAACAGTCCATGTAAAGAAAGCAGGCAGGCGTTCATTGAACCTGAAGTGGTGTGGGTCACGGTTGGATCCGGTATGGCGGTCGGCCAGCAGCCGTCTTCTTCGGGGTCGGTGCGCTCGCTCACCTCCTTTTCCTTTCTCTTTCCGTTTATACTGGGCAGGAGGTTAGTAGTGAGTGGGGACTGTCTCTGTTGTGGAGTCTTTGGGACATGACTTGTCTGTCTTTCTTTTTTTTTCTTTTTTCTTCTTTCATTTGATCTCGTCTGTTTTGTGTCGTTTTGGTCTTATTGCCTTTGAGAGAGCTTCAATTATACCTTCAGCTCCACCGAACCCTATCCACCAGTGCTGCATCCCTCACCGAGATTGTCTGGATCCAATGACAATGACGAAAACATTTCAAGCTCCCGTGCGTTGGACTCGGCTATCCAATTTGATCAATCTACCCCCCAGGGCGATCCTATAGCGCGAACAACGACGTCAAAAGGAAGATCCACTAAAGATGATCGCCGTGGGACCGGCCCATCACGATCGACCAAACATGCATTAGGGCCGATTCTCTTGGATAGCTGACTCAGCCGTGTCCCTACTGGTTGACCGACGCGGCGGATGCAGAACCCACTAGCGCCTCGGCACGTTCCGGCCATCCCAGACGGTACCGGTTCATCCTCGACTTCAACCTTGCCGGTGCTGCGTGACTGCTGTCTTTCGTGCCCTCCTCCCACGGTTCCGCTGGTCTCTCGGTGTATTTTGATTCTTCTGGGCAAACAGTGACATCGCTGTCAGTCTTCAACTGCCTGCAACTCTGATATGTTAGGAGAAGTTTCCCATGCTCCGCCAATTTTCAAGAGTCGACACTCGACGGACGGCACAGCTAGCTCGTTCATCCCCAGCAGATCCCCATCACTGGACCAGTCAAACATGCATGGAGGACTGAAGGGGTTTGACCATGTACGCCTCTCCCTCTCGGCTCTCAGCTGATCGATGTATCTGCCTCCGAGGGTTTTCCAAAATTACAGATACAAGCCGGCTGTCGCGGGCTGGGGGAGGGAGTAAACTGTGCGTGAGCGGGTCCACGCAGGCAATGTCAATGCAATAGTAACCCCCTAGAATGGTCCGCCATGCACGTTGTACAAGGGAGGAAGGATGTCGACCCAAAGATGTCAGTGTGGACTGAGAGACCTTCTTTCTGGTCAGTGGGGGGGCGGTACATCATTCGACTGGAGAAGGCGGCCAACAGGAAACACGAAAAATGTCGTGGTGCAGGCATTCCAGGGAGATTGTGCAACGGTTGCAGTTCCACCGTGCCGACGGGGCACCTGGCAAAGCAATATGGGTGACACCCTAATCGGTTATCGAATCAACGGGTAGAACATGGCCCACCCTCTGCTTGTTCCTCTGCGATAGCCACTGATACGCCTGCCCTTGAGAAAACACTTCCGATTCTGAAGCCTGCCAGGGTGTCTATCTTCACCCCACCTTCGTCCAACGTCCACTGAGGACGACCCACGTCCTTCTCCGTGTCGGTGGACTCGCCGGACGATCGGCATCTCATGGAAGACCGTGGCTGTCTGAATCCAAGACAGAAGAATGCGGGAGCTTGATAGCCCCGTGCGTCGGGTCTACGAGACCGGATTCGCCGCTATCATGCCAGTGGCTGTTCATGTCGTCACCGGATTTCATTCCCAGACTACCAGAGCGGACTTCACCCAATAAACGTCTTCTTTCAAACCCTTACTCAATCGGCCATGTTGAGCCGTCTTCCCCGCCCCTCGAGTTTTTCTTTACATCTTTATTGTTTTTCTGTTTTCTTTCTTTCTTTCCATGTCGCAGGAGATTTTCCACACGTCTAGCATGGGTTGGGTGCTATCGCCGTTTTACCCCCTCACGCATCCCGGTCTTCCGTGCATTGACCTACATCTCGTTTCACGAAACGGTCCTCGGATGTTGTGCTGCGCCAACAAACTTCTGACAAACCCACGGCACGCGATGACTGACACGACGAGGGAGTTGAAAGGGTACCTGCTCCAGTCCAAGGCCTGTCTGTATCAACTGGCCTTGGTGATTCCGCGGGCAACATACTCAACTCTTTGGTCCTCTTTCGCCCGCTGGTCCCATCTCGCCAGACTGGTCCTCTCTCGCCGCCTGATCCTCTTTCACCCGCCTAGTCCTCTTTCATCCGCACCTTGACACCTACCTACTCACTTACTCACCAGCCAGCTAGACCGGACGGATCTTTCGGGTAACACAACAGAGAACAAAGTATGTAGTCACCGCCACCAGACGGAACCCCCATCCAACCAAACGCAACAAAGCCACAAAAAACCCCCTCAAAACAACAATGAAACCTCCATAACACAACATGGTTTAGAATAAAGTTGTAAAATAACCAGCCCATCCATCACCATCACCAGTCAGATTCCCCACACAACCCCCTCTCCTCCAATTACTTCCCCTCCTTATCTACCCTCGACACCCGGAGCGCCAATTTCCGATCCAACTCCTCCTGCTCCGCCGCCGTGGCCTTCATCCCCATTACGTCCTCAACCTGTGGCGACATCCAGAGTCCAATCGATGCCCAGGCCATGAGGCCCACTCCGAACAGGGCGCGCGTTTTGGGCGATAGGGATCGGTAGGAACTAGACGATGCGTGTCAGCCTGGTTGTTTCTTTGTATGTATTAATTTTCTCGTAGACAAGTGGGTTAAGATGGGACAAACCTCCAGAACGACATTTTTTCCTCCTTTTCCCTCCGGTTTGTTGATGTGGTGTGGTGCACAAACGGTCACTGCGCGGGTCAAGTCAAGTCAAGTCAAGTCAAGTCGCCCGTAAATCCGGATGAGATGGATCTGGGCTAGACTGGAGATGGTTTAGTTTGGGTTGTGGTGCTAGTAGCTATGGGGTGGGAGGTACCGCCTAGGGTTTCTGCCGGTATTATTGTCTTCCGCTTTGCTTTGCTGCAGTAGATCGTCAGATGCAGATGTACGCTGTAGTAGGACTATCTTGCTCATCGTTCAATAGAACTGATTTTCTTAACGGGTGACTAAATATGTTTTGATTTTGAATGAATTTGTTATCTATGCTAACTTGCTATGGCAGCACATTCGCAGGACAAACACTCTTTCACCGATGCCGCACACCATTGTACACCAAGATATATATGTGTTGTGACTACGGTGTACGGAGCATAATGATAAGTTTGAAATAAAATGAACAATCCCAATCCCAATTTCTCACTTATTCACTACTCATGACCCCAATGACTAGCCTCCCAGATCCAATCTATTCAGTTCTTTCGCATCTATGTGGATCGGGGTATACTGTACCTATGAGCGGACAGCCCAAGCTCTTAACCTAGCGAATATAACCTACCCAGCGCAAGACAGAAGTGGTACAACTCAGATACTTATTCCCGAAGAAAGACAATATATCTAATCAGCTCCATGGACAAAAAATAACATCAGCGACCCACCATCAGACAGTCAGTCAGAGAAAGTAGCCCAGGGAGTACAGAGTACAAGACCAGGGGTACAGAACCAAAAGTCAAGCCAGATTAAGCTTTCGACAGATATACCAGCTTTCCGCCCCTGTGTCAGATATTATCTCCTGTCTGTCCTCTCTGGAGGCCTGTACCACCCAGAGACAGCACGAGAGTTACCTCGCGGGTCTGGAATCGATGAAGTCGTGGATTACAGTCTTGGAAAAGTTCGAAGATAGACGAACACAGCTTGGGGTGATCTGTCTGCCTCTACTTTGGGGGGCAGGATATTAATATCACCTTTTTTACACTTATCTGGAGTTTGACCAAGCATCTCCATTGTAGCTTAAATCACAGTAGCCCTATGTTTATTCGAGCTAGAGATGAATTCGGACGGCATCGCAAGCTTGCTCACGAGATATAGGATTGTTGACTGACTAGCAGCTACAACACAGATTATAGATTGAGAAGTGAATTATGTTTCCCAAAGTCAGATCTCACAACGGTCTTCTAACTCGAGTTCTTCGTATCCGACGAGAGAGTACTCCGTACTACACACGATCTATAAGTAGACCAGTCCCCTACTTTACCAACACTACAAAGCAAAAATAACAACAAAAAACCAAACCAAATAAAACAAAGACAGCAACGATATATAAAAAGCCTACGAAATTAATCAAATTACAAAAAATAAAAAAGAAAAAGATAAGAATACCGACAGCTGCAGGATTCGAACCTGCGCTCACGAATGAACGGGATCGCAACGGTAACCGTATTTCTACGGTAGCTGTATAGCAGTCCCGCGCCTTAACCACTCGGCCAAACTGTCTGAATGATGGAAGAGTTGTACCTTCTGGGAATGATATCTGGAGAGTTCGGATTTACATATTCAAAGCACTGGCATACGAGGAGGTTTATTCTTTGCATATCTATCTATCTATCTATCTATCTATCTTTCTGGGTAGTATTTAGTATGGATAATAGATGGGTGTGTAGTATGTAATACGCTAGAGAGGATTACTTGTTCATACGCTGCTGCAATCTATGGGGAGGTACTGTATGTTGCAGTTATCTACAAGTAACACGGGATATGCGACACGGTATATCAAGTAGGATGTCCGTATATTATCTGCCAGTGTCTGTGTCTATGCTATGTCGTATTCTCCAATACTCCTTTACTCTTATGCCTTTCATTTATGTACGTGGCTGACCATCTCTATGGATTTTTCTGTTCTGGAGGGAAAGGATCAACTTACATACTATACCAGTCTAACATCAATATAACATTCGTGACACTGTGCCATCATAGAACACCATGATGAATGACCAAAAGACTTGACTGTATTGTCTGATATATAGTGCGAGATACACACATACTAGATTAAAGATACCTACAACAAACACATATCACTCATTGTTATATTCTCTACTGAGACAATATAAATAGTACATTCCAGGTCCATGGGCAGAACAGCACAGCACACCCAAGGAACAATTTCAATGCAAAAGGTATAACGTAACTAGGTTTCGAGGCTGCAAAAATCAAACAAAAAGAAAAGAATGGGAATCAAGATCAAACCAAAGAAAGAAGAACAAAATAGTGCGTAAAAAGCATAATTCGAATAGTACGTTGCGGTCGGGATAGAAGAATAGTTCGTTTATTTCTTGCCATACGCGCGGTCAATGTCCTTCTGGAAATGGCTGACGATCTTCTTGCGCTGGAGTTTCTGGGCTGCGGTCATGTAGCCCTGTTTATATAGTTAGCGAGCGATCTAATGGGAATGGAATGGAATCGAAGAGGTAAAGAAAAGGTAGAGGGATGGGGAAAAAACACGTACAGTCTGTGGCGTCCACTCCTCGTCGGACATGACCACACCGCTGACGATCTCAATCCCCCGGAGACCGCCCGCACGGCCGGCATTCTGAAGCTCCTGGAGGACGTACGACTTCAGCTTCTCGTTGTGAACCAGCGTTTCCAGAGTATCGCCCGGGATGTTCTTCTCGCTGGCGAGCTTCTTCAGGGCGGCTTCGACCGGCACGATGATGGCGACCGGCCGATCCTGGTCCTGGGCCGCGAAGACGCAGATATTGCCAACGATCGGAGAAGATCGGTAGACCGACTCAAGCTTCTCCAGCGCGATGTATTCGCCGTTCAGCGTCTTTACCAGGTTCTTCTTCCGGTCGATGATGCAGAGGTGGCCGTACTTGTCGAACTGACCAATGTCACCCGTCTTGAACCAGCCGTCCTCGGTGTACGCGGCCTTGGTCTCTTCCTCGTTCTTCCAGTAGCCGCTCGACACACCACCGCCGCGGATGTAGATCTCACCCTGCGGGGGGTTGTTCTTAGCAAAGTACCCCGCATCGGGGAAGTCGACGAGTTTGATTTCGATCGAAGCGGGAATTTCACCCAGAGCGTCCGGATTCCAGGCCATCGGGTCGTTCAGCGCGCCCATGGCGGTGGTCTCCGTCAGGCCGTACCCGCTGATCATGGGGGCGATGCCCATGGACAGGAACTTCTGGGTATCCTTGGAGATCGGACCGCCGCCGTTCATGAAGATGCGCAAACGGCCACCGGTCGCCTCCCGGAGCTTCTTGAAGACCACCGAATCGAGCACCCACGCGCCGAGATCCGAGCCGGGGACGCCCGTCGACATGAGGAAGCTCTTGGCGGACATGGCCCCCCAGAACATGCCCTTGACCAGGAAGCTGGCCTTGTTCAAGTTGCCGAGCACACCCTTCTTCACGGACTCCCAGACCGCCGGCACACCGACCAAGATCGTGGGTTTGAACTCGCGGATGTCGCCGCTGCAGTTCCGCATCGAGGCATCGGACAGGGTGCGGGGGTTTCCGTAACCCATGGTACCACCCCAGAAGAGACAGACATTTTCAAACATGAATTCCAGGATGTGGGATTGCGGGAGGTAGGTGAGCAGAGAATCGGAAGGACCAATGTATGGTCCGACAATGGCCTGAACACCGGCGGCTATACACATCATTAGTCTGTACCACTCGATGGGAATACAACAACCATGCAGTTAAAACTTACCGGAGGCAATGACGTTACCCTGCGTCAGGGGAACGCCCTTGGGAGGGCCGGTCGAACCCGACGTGTACATGATGCAGCAGAGGTCTTCGGGGGTCGGGGGAACGGGATCCACCGGGTTTTCTTCGCCAAGCTTTCGCAGCTCCTCGAAGCTCATCACGTTCAGGTGCGGGAATTGCGACTTCAGACGGTCGAGATCCTCCTGTTTGTGCTCCAGGTGGCTGTTGTAGATGACGTGCTTGATGGTCGTCGCGTCGCCGAGGACGTTTGCCACCGAGGGGATGAGGTTAGGGTCGCAGAAGATGCCATCACTCTCCGTCTGTACCATGGAGTGTTTGAGACCTTCCTCGCCCAAGGTATCATACGCGGTGACCACCGTGATCGACTGACAAGCAGCTCCTACAAGAAACAAGACAGTCAGTTGCCGTTTGCGCTCAGCAAGCGTCAGAGGGGATACGAACCGTGTGACATAGCCAGCCAGTTCTCACTATACAGGAACAAAAGACGTTAGCGCCACGTCCAACTTCTCATCCAAGCCCACGAGAGAGACCCACCTAGTTGCGCCAAAAAGGTGGACGCGGTTACCCTTGGCCAGGCCAATCTTGCGCAGACCCTGGCCGATCTGCAGCGCCAGTCGTTCGTACTCGATGAAAGTCTTGTACTCATAGCCGCTCATTTCATAGTAGTTCCACTTCTTGTCGACCTCTTGCTCGACACCGTCGACCACCTTCTTGATCTTCTTATTCTCCGTGTGGACCTTGATCAAACGGCGAGAGCCGACAGCCTTGGCGTTACCGAAGACGCGAGCCGAACGACGGAGGATATCGTAGGTGGTCGCGACATCTTCGGGCAGGCGCGTGAACAGGCCATCCTTGGCAGCGGGGAGTCGACGGGGGATTGTCTCGCCGGGCTTTGCTTCGACGCCGGGCACCTCCACGGAGAAGGGAGGCTTCTTCGCCATGCGCGGCTGTATACGGGCTTCTTTGAGCGACATGTTGTGACGTTGAATGTATTATACAATCGCAAACGTGAGTGGGGAATTTGCGACGGCTAAACAAGTTGGTAGGTTAGCGAAGGGGTTCTCGGAGGGACGAAAACATCATAGTCGAAAGGTCGAAACAAAGAGCTTCGTAACCAGGGATCCAGGAGAAAAGGAGGAGATCCAGTGGACTGGGGAAGCGGGGAAGGTCCAAACTCAAAAACAGGACCAACTTACGAGGTGTTGAGGTGAACTGGGGGTCAACCAACGTTGCTCCGAAGGTTACCGTCGGTGGCAGGGTGAGGGCGGGGGAAAGTTCGAAGAATGAAGGAAGACGGAAAGAGGAAATTGGGGAAGATTTAAAGGGAGAAAGGGGGGAGTCCAAAGGAGGAGAAGGTCTGGGGAAGAAGAGGGGAACTAAAGAGAGGAGATGAGAAGGGGAGAGAAAGAGGAGGAGGAACGATGAAGCTGCACCGGATGAAGTCAGTGTCAGTGGACAGGAAACGCACGTTAACCTAGTGAACTAGTTAACCTAGGTACCGAGGCCTTCGTGGACCAAGTTTGGGTCTTATTGGTGGCTGGGTTGATTGCTCCGGATGCAGACTCGACTTCCTCGGTGGTATGTCCTGTGGAATTACTTACACTGTCGAGTCCTGAGAATGTGATTGATCAGAGGTTTATTGTCCACGTTCTGACTTAACTACATTGTGATCGTGGTTGATCTGATGTCTACGTAGCTACTATAATATGTCCAGTTAAGTATCTATAGCTCAACTGACCTCGATCTAACTCATGACAACAGCTCTGTGCATGCATGATCTACATGGTGGACGAGTAACAATCAAGAAGACAAAGAATGATTGCAATAACTGTGCTCTGCACTGTCTTATACAGTTTTGAAGCCAACATCACCATCACCACCCAGAAAATCAAGGAAATGTCCAAGCTAATGTTCATAAATTTTTTGTTGGGACTCAGGCCCAACAGTTCGAGCTCCCATGCAGATCATCTGGGGCCTCAGGCCACCAACGGCTATCACCTGACAGACTGTTTGGGAGCACATGAAAAGGGACAGTGAGGTAAATGAGAGATATTTGAAACTGGAACGGTCAGAAACAACTCAGGGACAACTCCCATACTTGGGCATGCCTGCAGACTCAAGTCAGACAAGCGGATTGTGACAGATGAAGGATGAATGAATGAATAAAACAAAAACAAAAATGATGGGGTTCATTGATCTGGCCCACCCGAGCAGCTTCAAGCACGGTCCAATCAGAGAGGCCCACCCCGGGGTGCCAGTGCTGACTAAGTGGATAGGGTTCAGAATCTGACATTGATATCACAATCAACGGTCGAGGAGTATCGACTTTGTTGCTTGTTCATCTTTGCTGTCTTGTATCCATTGGATTTGCTATGGAGACGTAGCTCCCATGCTGTTTACTCTGACGTCATTTGCAGGCAGCCACATCGACACATCTCACACTTTTTGAGCCAGTACAGCTCACTCTGTAGCTCACACAACTTATCTCCATGTGGGGAATCTAATCCCAGTCCTCACATCGAACTCTACTAGAGTTCTAAACTCTAAACTCTACCTCCCATACTAGGTATACTATACTAGGTATACTGAAGCTGAATCTTACCATGGAAGACCTCACCAACTTCTTAACCTCCATTGGTCCAGAGGTAGAAGATGCCGACGAGGGTATGTACCGTAGACACCAAACACCAAACACCACATCTATACATGTATATTTCTAGAGACCAAACTGAAAGACACTAGAGTCCTTCTTCCTCTTCTCCCAAG